TTACACTTACTATTATTCTGATATTTATTACACCCAACAATTGAGACGATAAGTTTTTTCGCCACAATATTCACCACTACCCCAAAAACCCTCTATTACTATTACTATAATTTCTTATATTTTCTCTTTTATGGTTTTTATTGCATAAAGGGCTCTCTAACATAATATAAACATTAATACTAAATTTTATTCTTATTAATTTTCATATTTTTTTTAATCTCATAGTATATACCAGCCCTTATGGCAAATTCTTATTGTACCTCTGTACTTATGTATATTAATATGTTAAAACCAGCTTTAGCAGTTCACCTATAGTTGGACAATAAAGTCTTACATTAACGAAATGTCCAGTGACTGATCTTTGTGAATAAAAACGAAATCTGGTTTACATCAATCCAGAAAGGGAATGGCATAGACATCATGTATTACTAAGTTTGTATTTCTAATAAAGTTGCTTATAGCTGTACATTGTTCAATGAAGTATGCTTGAAATACTTTTTCAGCTTCAAAACATCGAGGGTTACTGAAAGAACCCGGCTTCTTGTCAGCAATTTTAATGGAGAGAAGGGAAACATCATCTTCTGACCATGTTTCTTCACAAATTTACCCTTATCTCTCTCTGTTTGTGTTCCTAAGCAAGTAAAAACAACAATAGTAAAAAATCATATATAAATACTTAATTCACATTAGACTCTGATATTGTTATACCTGGACATGAATGTCACTCATTACTAGTACGAATCCTCTTTAGACTGACATTCACCTTCCCAATCTCTTGCATCACGTCTTCTTTAAAATCATCCAATAACCTTTTTAATTGGTATCGATATCATCCAATCTTTTTAAATTGATATCTTAGGGGTAAAAGAAAAGCCATTGAGCAAAGTATAATAGTTTGTGAAGTTTGAGTAGTGTATGGGACGTAAGAGAAATATATAGATGAGTGAGGTGGTTGAATAAGAGGAGGTATGAATGAAAAAAGGTTTCCTCTCTCACATCTACTATTCTGTCTACTCTAAGTACGCACTACTCTATGCCCGAATCACAAAGTCGTTACCTGGGCTGAGATGTAAAAGACTTAATTATGTCAGCCTTAGCCTGCCTATATTCATCGCCGTCAATAAGGCCCTCGAAGACTGTCTTGCACGTTTATGGGAATGAGTACGGTGAGTTAGTCGCGCACGGCTTAACGTTAATAACGTTTCACAATGTAACTGGCCAATGATAGTCGATGCGCAGAAATTCGCGTTTGTCTAATTGCAGCGTATGATGAACAAATGGATATTATAAAAACAGCACCGGTTAACTTATTAAAAATCAACCACAATACAATAAATATCGTTGAATCATATTTAAAACAATAAAACAAATCTGCCAACTTCCAATAATACCTCTACGAAAAATGCTTAACTTCCCGAGCGAAATCTTTTTTGGAATATTTATTGGCTGTCTGTTGCTAAATGGCATAATTTCCACAACATGGAAAGACACTATGAAAGTCTAGAAAAATCCAAAACGAACCCATCAGCGAACAAAATTATGCTCCAGATATCGGAATGATTTGAGACAATTATACGATAAAAGAACCGAATCGGATCCGGTGTTTGAAAATCCATAAGTTACTTGGCGAAGGAAAGATCGTTGCTGCTTCCACAGTATGAAACTTTTACCTACGGAGAACGAAACAAGGGAGAACACTATCAAGGCAGTTCAGCGTCGGATCGACGAAGAGAAGAAGGAAATTTTAAGCCGTGAATGCCGAAGATAAAAATCAAGAAATGGATGATAATGTTAATGCTATTATTAATAGTGATAGTAAGAAGATAATGAAGTTCAAATTTGCACCAGAGTGGCCAAACAATAGGAAAGTTCAACGGATGCGCTTAAGCAGTCTTTTATCATGACTATAAAGAACGATCTTCCGTCGAGGTCGTTCGATCAGCGCAGGCCTTTACGTTAACTGCTGGTTTATCATTTATTTGAAGTTAATTGGTTTTATTTTTCGTTCTGCCTGGTAAATTTCATAAGTGATTTCTTCTTTATCTATAGATATTCCCGGAGAATTTGGGTATATTTGATTTTAAAAACGTGGGAGCAATTTTTTCACCTTGAGGCTTTTCTTTAAAATACTTCTAATGCGCTGATTCCATGGTGAATTTAATGTAAATTAGTTTCATATTAATATTCTTTATATAGGCATACTCAATATTAAATGAGTTATGATTTGTAAGAGTTTAATATAACAATTAGCAATTCAAAGTCACATTCAAAATATCATATTCAAGTTATAGTTAGTTAACTTTCAGCCACATCACCATTTTTAATTCACATTCCCAATTGACATAATCTGATGTAGTCACATAATGACGTCACTTACTTAACTGGGAGCTGTCTCACATTTCACGAAAATCTTTAGTTATGTCCAATATAGTAACAACACCATCAGCCGCTTGACAGAGAACAGTCCGAGGGGGGATCCCAACCCATGGACGACCATTAAATAACTGGTGAGATGTATATTGTCGAATCGTTTACTTGCCATTAGATTTTTGCCCTTTGCGTGCGACAAATGCACCATCCCCAACTTGTATATTTCAAGTAGTGACAAACACTGTGTATACACGATAGATGATAAGGTTTATGCAACATCATTCTCTGAGCGTTTGTGCATAAAATTAGGGATAAGATGATAATGATAGATCGCCATTCTTTGACTTCATTTTACTAAGCAATCAGGAGTAAATATATTATTATATGGTTATTATTTTTCAGCATATCCTAATATATTACCTTTGACATGCATCCACCAATCAGGACTTTTCGAATGGTTTGTAGCTTTTGTTGTATGAACTATTATAGATCGATCGTCATTTGTTAAGAGGATTGCAAAATGTGTATCAACGAAATATGTTTGGCGTAACTTGTCACAAAAAATGGTATGCCTAGTCAAATTAAATATGTGTGTTTTTTATGTTAAGGGGCATACAGTATATAAATAGAGTCACATCACCTCACATGACTCCGAATAAAGAAAATAAGGACTCGGATGAAAGTTTTGTATGTCAAGGTTTGTTGTACTTTGACACTTGTCAAATACTGATTCGATAATGTGAGCAGACTGATCAATGTGGTGGGCGGTGCGTGTATATATATATTTGATAGTTTTGGTTATGTGAATACTTGTTTATTGATCGATGCGTGCGGCTTACGCTCATGCTGTAATGTTGTTCAACTGCTGTCCTGAAAATATCCTGTCGTTCATCTTTCAAAGTTTGTTTGTGCACTTTTGTTGTTAGGATACATTGTCTACTCCGCTTTTTTGTTTTTTGTTTATCTCAATAAAAGCCACTTTCATCGTTGGGCGATGGGGGTGCGTGCATTGATTAAGCAGAGATGTTGACAGAAATAGTGCAATTATGTGATATACAAGCATTTGCATCTCTTATCACATCTTTCGATATGTCCCCTTATCTTTCCGTGACTTGATTGGACAATGCCAATTTCGACGCACAATATGCCGAATTTATTTTCATGCGTCTAGAATAGAAGAATATGGCGCTCATAAATAGTTGGTCCTGCATTCTTTTTGCAGCTGCTAGGCCTATATGCCTCATGCAATTATCAAATTTCATTCCGTACTAAATGATTCATTACAACAACAAATGCAACCGCAACAATCGCAATCGTCGCAACCGCAACCGCACGCACGCACGCAACCGTAACCATAACCGCAACTGTAACTGCAACCGCAGTTGTAACCGCAACAGCAATCGTCGCAACCCCACTATTTTTCACACAACTCTATTTATTTCTTACTTTCCCCGATTTGATTGCGCCAAACAGCATCTGGAATATAGATTTGATGTTGTACGTGCGTTACATATTCTCGCGCGATTGTCACACAACGCTTTCAATAGAAAGAAAAGTTATAGTAAATTTGGTGTGAGTCAGAATGCGGATGCACAGAATAATTAAGACTTGTCTCCTCGGGCTTTGAAGATTGGTGTTTGTTCAGTATCTATTGTTGATCATATATTGCCTCCACATCGAAATATTATTCATAATAATAAGCGAAGGGCTGACGACAATCCCTGTCAAGCACGTTGATCGTTGCCTCTTTCGCACGTTTGCAACTTTTGGGGAATTATTATTCCCATACATTAATCGAATAAGACGCATACATAAAATGTGGTGTAAAGAATAAAGAACATTCTTCCAAACCCATCAACCATAATTGGATTGTTTTTTATTTGTGATTTCATATCCGTATTCGTATGTTCACCTATACATCATTACAAAGACAACAGCCGCCAAGAAAACAACGATATATTAGTAATAAAATAGTAATAGTATTATTAGTATTAGAATAACAACATATACCAAAGTGCCCCGTGCTTCATATTTATTGCTGTCCTCCCAGCCAATCGCCTGTGCAACTTTTCTTTACTTAGCAAATATACGGTTGGGGTGTGGAGAAGGGGGCAACTCGTCGGACTATGAGTTGTCTTTGGGACAGAATATATATTAATGTACTTAATATCATAGAAGTTTTAAATGGGTACTTGATATCATCGTATCACAAATTAAATTAAATTGGACATATAAAAAATATATACGAAAACCACTATAAATCTGTATATATGCGCAGTATATAAAGTATTGTATATAAAAAGAATACCGCCCCACAACGAACAATCACAGTGATATTAAGAAATTATTCAGTGACAATAGGAAATTTATTTAACAGGAAAACTCCGATCACTCGAGCAATATAGCAGTAAAGGAAAAATTACATAGCATTTGACAGCAATAAAACGCCTTCTCAACGACGACCTTTTTTATAACTGATAAAAAAACACAACTGCTTATATAACCGTCGTGAACTTTTTAGTAACCACTTTACAATACCTACTACAACGTTACTCACCCACAATTGCTCACCATATTATACTAACATTACTAACAAGACCATCAAATACCGACGGCAATACCAAATAGCAATGCCTACAGTTCTTATTCCTAAACCACTACCCCACTCTTACCCGCTACATCTCTCTTACTCGCTCTCACATTCTCGCCCCAAACGCCATTCCATACCCTTTCCTCTCGCCTCTCTCCCCTTTGACATCCTAACCCACATCCTTTCGTTTGCCATACAACCTTCGCCTTCTTCACCAACCGTATATTCCTCGCTTGCGTTAGTGTCTCGAACATTTTTTTATGCTTCGATTCCTCACATCTGGAATCATATTTATATTCAAGAACCAACCTACAAAATACTGTTCTCGATATTGCATACACCAGTAGAAAAGTTAACGTACGATTACAGGAAGCTGGTGAAAAGCGTAACTGTGTGTCCGGTATCAATATCACGAATGAAACCAGGCGGGTTGATAGGTGTATTGGAAATGGTCAACGAAGTATTGACTGAGGTTAGAGAAATAAACGTAGAGGACAAGTTGAGCTTCTGTCATGTGTGTCATATCGGTTGTGAAGCTACCACGCAGGAAGTAGGCTCTTGTTTAGTGCCAGCGAAACCTCTCTTATCATTGAGGCTTGATTCCGATCATACTTCTTTCAGCGACGATTTATTATGCTTGATATCGTCTTCATTGACCTCATTGAAGAAATTATCTTTGAATGGTATAAACTTTACGGACGAGGGAATAATAGAATACGCCATTCCGGCCGTGAGCGATACGTTGGAAGAAATTAACATTGGAGTGGGAGTAAGCGGTAAAGCTATGATCACCGGAAGAAGCGTAGTGGAATTATTGTCGAGTTGCTATAAATTAAGGAACATGACGCTCGAAGGATGTGATTTGACAGATCAAGACTTTTTTATCGATGCTCTTCCGCAATGTAACTTGACGTATCTCTACATTGGGAAAACCAAAACACCCTTCTCGTCATTCTCGCTCCAATCTCTACTTTCCACGTGCTATTCTTCCCTACAGACGCTCATACTTGACATTGACCATATTTCTCCAATTGTCCTGCTCGACATTATCATTCCTCTCTTCCGCAACTCGAATTTACACTCTTTACATCTCATCTCGGAATCGTGGACACATTGGATTGCACACTATCCTAACCCGAAGAACGACCACGAAAGGAGAGCAAAGGAAGCCATGTGGAGATGGAAATTGAAGGCGTATTGGGGTTTATCGTATGAAACGATCAGAATGGTAGCCGAGGAGGTTAGAACGCTGCGCGTATTTAGTATATTGGGTGAGAACCAATTGGAAAGGAACGAGGGAGAGGCAATAGGAGGATGGGCAATCAAGGGAAGCTGGTAATTGGGATTTGCTTTGTGTTAGGGGGGGAGGATACAGGCATGGGTTGATCGATTGATTAAATTGAGATATTTTTATAGTGAATTTTTTTTTTACAATTTTTGATTGGATATTGACGTGATGACTTATATGGTTATTTGGTTGTCTTTTTCTTATTATTAGTATTTTATTAGTATTATTATTATTATTACTATTATATTCTTTTTTTTTTTTACAAATCCATAACTTGTGGGGTTTAAAATGAACATTTTGGCAGTTTAAGTTCTGTCACAAAAGTATATTCATTTTTAATTATTGTATTATAAATATTTTATCTATTAGATCTGTAGAAATATCACAAATAAAGCATATCGATCGCACGTGATTATGTTGTGAACGGGTACGCTTTTGTTTTTGGGTGGTGATCGTAACTTGGTTGGCCCTTTGATAGCATAAACAACTCGTTCGATTGCTCACAAGTTTTCTGCTCACATTCTCCGCATCGGAATTTTCGAGTCCTAATTTTCATCACGACGTTGTTTGATTGGCCAGTTGGTCGGTTAAATAATAATTAGTCCCATTCTGGTAAGCGGATCAAATCTTTTCATACTGAACAAATACCCGGCCCAATGCAGCCACTTAACGTTATTGTCTCTTATCATACATATATAGCAAAGACCACGAAAATGGCGGCAAGCTTGATCATCCATACTCCACGCGGGGTAACGCTTTTAGTCTATCCTTTTATGGTTCTTTGATGTGAACAACTCGGATTCAAAGAGGGGTCGGGATACTCTGTAGAAGACACTTTATTACACCATAGCATGGATACAGTTACGTCTGATTTGGGCCTTCAGTCAACTCTCTTTATAAGGACTTGATGTCTCATAAGGACCACCTGTGCTTTCCCGAATCGTATATTCTTGATGATTCTACGCTTCATTTAAGGACTCGCCAAGACCGACTTGCTTTAGCCGAGGTTTTTCTTATAAAGAGAGTTGACTGATATTTTGAATTTTATGGGAGCACAAGTAAGATTTCAAGACGCCAATATTAGGTTAAGCAGAACAGGCATAATCTGAGTCTTAAGCTCAATTGAACGATAATGTAAGCAAAGAGAGTTCCATGCCGCGGAGCTATTTGTGATAGATGTCAATAGATAACGTATACTTGTGTAATTATAGTTTTTTCTGTAACTCTGGCAATAGTAAATGTCAAAAGGCCAATTTATCGCCCACATGTAAACTCGACAACTCAAAAGACCGATTTGTGTATATAGCGATAATCTAACGTGAATGACGTGACTGGTTTTTAACACAGCATAGTAATAGCTCCTTCACATTTGTTAAAAGATTGTTAACTTTATATGTCTGGCATGTTTACTCTACTTACTAGTACGCTAATTATCTTCTAACGGTTTGGAGGCCAAATGAAAGTAATTATATGTCCGATAAAAATTTTTTTCCCGAGTGAAGATAACCAAGGAATGTGTCATGAGTGTTAATGCTAACTATCTGCTATCAACCGTTACGCGTTTTGATTTAGCGTGTACTTGAAGAGAATGTATATCGCGCGACCGTAACGATATGTTATTCACGTGATTTAATGGTTTAGGCGCTTATTTTTGTGAGACAATAACAGTTTGCATTGCAGTTGTCTGCCCCGGAGTAATAGCGCAGAATACTCTACTGATCTTGTCGACTCGTAAAAATGCCAAAGATTAGACACGCTCGTTCGCGAAGGCCACCTGAGGGGTTCGACGAGGTCGAGCCAACTCTTCTTGAGTTTGCTCAAAAGATGAAAGATGGTAAAACTTTATAGAGTCAGTTTCTTTACTACCAAAAGAGTTGATTTCTTAAAACTATGCGTAGCATACTGATCGGTCATGTAAATTTAGCCGAAAATGAGCCGCACGAAGGGAAGCGTCGTGTAGAATCTTTATGGCCTATATTTCGTCTTCATCACCAGCGATCTCGTTATGTTTACGATCTATACTACAAACGTCAAGCTATAACAAAAGATTTGTATGATTACCTTCTGAGACACGGATATGCTGACGCCAATTTGATCGCAAAGTGGAAGAAGGTATGAAACATGCTTTTTTGTTTGGTGTTCTTGTCCTGCAAACTTGCTTGTTCTAATACGTTGATATTCGATAAATAGCCTGGATTTGAAAGACTCTGCTGTCTGCGATGTATCCAACCCAGAGACACAAACTTCGGCACAACTTGTATTTGTCGTGTTCCAAAATCAAAGTTGGAAGAGGGACGCATAGTAGAGTGTGTTTTGTGTGGTTGCAGGTAACTTGGTTAATTTATCTTGCAGTCTCTCTTTTGTTCGGAGAATTTCGTGAAGGGTAACAAAATTTTGGACCTGTTTTTCCTTGTAGAGGATGTTCGAGCACAGATTTCGTATCGTCAAGGAAGGAAGCAAAGGTGAAAGACAATTTACCTGGTCAATCTAGTCAATCTAGTCAATCTTGAAGATTGAAGGATTGTCGTGAACGAACAAGCGATGAGACCGAATGTGTATAATAAATTAGAAATGATCATACGGCGCGATGTCGACAAGTTAAACTTTCAAAATATTGATATAGCTAATCGTTAATGATTTAAGTTACATACGTGACATAACAATATAACAGTAAACGGAATACGAAACCGCAAAGAAATTCAGAGTTCTATCTAGTATGTGCAAATTAACTCTCAGGTTACTGGCACGAGAATTTTTCGCTAACTGCACATGTGTATCAAGACGTGTCTTCAATCAAGGTCATTTTTAACAATTCTGTTGCCGTCTTTTACTTTAAACTTCTCTTGAAATTTGGCTACTTCTCTACCGATTTCTAGTACTTCAATGGCTAATTCTTCTCGTAGTCCGTTTATTTGTCGTTCATAAAAGCATGTGGGGTAAAACTGGTAGTTTCTTTTTCTTGCCACGTCTTATGCAAGCACAAATAATGTTCGCAACCTAACACATTCACCAGATTTCGTAACTTAATAAGTTTGCCTTGCAACTGTCACGTCTTGCTGTTCTATCAGTTGATTTACTGCGAACTTTACTTTACAAACGACTTTATTAGATTCACAAGTAGTCCCTCGATTGTTTCAATGTTTTAAGTCTTGACCAACTCTTTCATCCGGGTCAACGAATGTTTGACGTCAGATGCAGTTTAGGATGACGTTCTAATTTCTCTTTCTCTTTTTCCTTGCACTAGCATTCAAATCACTAGTCTCTTGTAGCCAGCTGTGGCCAATCAGTTGCATTTATGAGTGTGGGACCAAAGTAATGATTTTTAGCAGCATATTCTGTGATCTTGTATCTGTACAAATCCAGATGTCGCCACATTTTTTCGCGCAAATCTACGAATTGTTATTAAATCGACGGAATCGAGACCACAAAGAACTGTTCTTGTAATCCATTCCACGTATATAATTGTTTCTTGCATATCGTTTGGCTGCTCCCCAATAACTTTCGGTAAAATCGAATTCACAAACGTGATCTGCGATTTGTGTACAGACTTTTTTACGCGATACTATAAAATTTCCCATAAAACGCGACGCGTAAATGAAAGTCATAAACTTGCCGTCTACAGATTAAATTTATTACATAGTCGCTCTCAATAAGATAAAGCCATCGGGCTGGACCAAAATGATCATATTATCGAAAGTTTATTATAATGAAATTTTCGTTATAACGAAGGTCATATTTGAGTCACGTGAAACATTATTATATCAAGCGAAAGTTCTTTATTCGGATAAATTATTTTATATTAGAAATAAATCTAAGGTGCCTTGTCGCTTAGCACTAATTGAATGTAAAAGTTTTTTTTTTCTTTATGCTTAACAAAGTTTTAACTTCTTCACTTGTGATGACAAATTCTTAATTCTGATGTCTATTCCGTGAACTGCTTCACCGCTTTTGACAATAGAAATCTGTTCCTTAGGCTCATCGAGTTTGTCGGGTTTGTCCGGAGAGCTTACCATGTCAATTATCTCTTGGTCAGTGGACATTTCCCAAGGATTGAGCTCATTGTCGATTTGGATAATATGATGGAGTCCGAAATAGGTAATCAGTCGATTAAATGTTGAATATTATCGTCGTTGTCAATACCCTCCTCTTTATTAAAATTCAAGAATGCGGTCATTTTATTATTGATATCCATGTTAGATTGTGTTAGTATTTGAGTTTTTCTCCAACTGTTCCGAATTGTGTTAATATTACGTTATTTCAAGCGCTTGCAGCTAGTATGATTGCATCTGCAATAGTAAGTTCAGAAATTTTGGTTCTTATATTTAATATTAACGCAAGATTATACGCATCAATACGTTTTCGCAGAGAAGACGGCCTTAAGTTGATATACGTTAACTAACGACCTTTAAACTTAATGTAGACTTTCATTAAAATTGTTATTCTTGTACTTACCTAATAATCCCCACGTTCATAGGGTGCAAATGAGAAGTGGTGTTTGGAGGGAAAAAATGGACTTTGACATTACTCAGTGAATTAATATTATTAATAGATTGGCATGATGCGTTAGAAGAATGTGACGTCCACGTTGCATCAGCGTGTCAAGGTTTCTGTCAAATATCCCAGACATTTTTATTCCAAAATAGTAAACAGGCAGAGACTTTTTATCAATTTTTTTTCAACGAGCGTGGATTTTGCCATTTATTAATAACTAGCGGTGTTAATTTATGACTTCCGGTAGCGTTAACGGTCAATAAGATTGTAATACATTGCTTTGACTTTTTGATTCCAAAAGACGACCCAGTTGAAATAGATTTTGACGGCAAAAGTTGCCAACACAATGCGGTCTCATCAAAATTATAGATGTTTCTGGCTGGTAATTGTAATCGGGGCGCTAGCAGCTTTGAACGTCAGCCGTCTGATGCATTAAACTTTTCGATATTTGCCAGAGTCGCGAAAGCCTTTGCTTTTCGCAAAACATGACCAGATATGACTCGGAAACTCGATTTGCATGCTCTATCCACGTATAAAGAGCTTCCTCAATTATAGGATAGGCGGCAGTTTGTTCGCGTTTTTTCTTCGTTGAGGTTAAACTTTCGTCTAAAGTCAGTCGGTCTGATAACCTTTTAAAAATGGTAAAACCCGTATTTTCTTTGATCCCAAACAGTTTAGCAAGCTCCGCTTGAGTCAAATTAGGCTGAGCTTTCTTTTTTAAACACAAATCTCTTTTCTGAACGCCTGTTAGAGTAACCCGCTGTATTGCAGGCTTTTACTAATTATACTTGCATTGTTCATCTGTCTTTTTACTTGTGGGGGAACTAGTTAAAGAGAATAAGAATTTATGATAAAAGCATCGAAATCTCGATTAATTGGTTTAATTTAATTGGTACAATTTAATATGATGTTCTGCTCATTATATCGAGGTTAGCTTGGTTCGATATAAATGCACAAAAACATCGCTATAACGTTATATCGCGAGATTATAAGTATCTTCATTATATCGAGCCCAATTTTATTATAATTGACTTGGTTCCGGAAAAAAGCGTCATATTGAACTTATCGGGAAGCATTGTATCAAGAGTGACTGTGTATTTACTATACTGCCACAACAAGATTTTTTGAACGTAAAAAAGTAAGTCTATCTTTGCCACATGCTGAATTAATAAAGCTTTTAGCCGCGTATATTCCTACTGACATCTGGCCACTGCATCGTGCGTTAGACGTTTGGTGCTATGTCCTTGGACATGCGTGCTAGTATCTAGGATGTACTGTGTATACGTTACTACCTACTGGCGTATGACCATGACGTGTTTGAAAATACCTTCTAAAAATGGTTTGATCATTTCCTCCCCTACATGCTGTCCCAGTATACCGCGACTTTGCAATGCTTCTTGTAACAATTTGTTGTGCGAATATAAATGTTAACCAACTCCCATTGCAATATTATTTTCATTAATTTATTGGAAAAATTGTCTCTAACCGGCATAATTCTATGAATTTGAATACAAACTGTCGTTATGTATATAGATCTGCCTTGTTTATCATTAGTTTTATAAACAACCGACTTCCTAGGTTCAAGCAGACTCGCGTAAAAATAAAAATTTAAATGGATGTCAATCATAGTTGGTTCATACTAAAGTAATTTTACAAAAAAAAAGCAAAATAATTATTAGTTTATTCAACGAATAATTGCTTATGTTGGACTTGTTTCTTGGTTTATCATAGGTTGTTAATATTAAAGTTCAATTAGTGCTTTTATTCTTCGTTCTTCTTGATAAATTTCACAAGTAGTTTTTCTTTATCTGGAGACTTGAGTATCATTAACTTTAAAAACGTATAGAGCAATTTCTTTTCCCCTTGAGCTTTTTCTAGAATGCTTCTAACAGTGCTGTAATTCTTTTGTTCCGTGGTGGATTTGATGTAAATTAGTCTCATACTAATGTTATATGTATATTAATATATAGAGTGAAATACATTACTGCTGTATATGTAGTAGCAGTAGTATAAGTAGTAATGATAAAATGTTTATTTTTACATTCTGGGAATACCAAAATTAAATAATAACAATGTATCTACATAAAAAAATCTGCCACATTAGCCATTTTCAGCTCATGCAGTCAAATGTTCACTTTGTCTGTATGCCCCAAATGTTCATACATTGTGTGATAGCATTCAAGTAAAAAAGTTATTATTATCTCAACTGAGTTTAAATCTTTAATACTAGTACTGTATATTAATATGAATCTGTGAATTCTCAGACATGAGCCACACATACACAGCCATCAAATCACTTAAATCTTATCAGTAGCAATCTTTGTTTCGTTGCGCTCTTATATCATTTATTGTCATAGTTAATACTACCCTCATACTCATGAAATGAAATGCAACGTGATTTCACGGGTTACAGAATGCGTTAAGTTGGTAATTGTCTTTCTATTTGCAGACAAATACAATTGTGAGCAAACATCTTCTGATCTGACATATCATTGTGAAAGAATGCCTCTCAGTTATATGCTTGAGTTACTGAAAACGTTAGTGGGAAAGAACTGAAAAACGAGAATATTAAAATGGCGTAATTCGCTTTGAGGTACAAATACAATTGTTACCCAAGACCTTTTGGTACCATTGATTAAAAAATGTGCTGTGCAAGTTTATTATAGCTCAACTATTTACACATACAAATTATTTGTGTTTGTTCTGCAATGACTATAAATTAATATATAATAAAACATGCTAACCTGAATCACCACCTAAAAGTGTCAAGATGGCAATAAAAAGATTTACTATATCCAGATACAAGTCAATTGTACCCAAGATGTATTCTAATCAAATTATAACAATGGTTTTAATAACGATTGTAATGTTACTTTCATAAACAAATAACTTTATACTGACCTTCTGGGCTCAGTTTATTGAATATCTCATACGTAT